TGTATGTATGTATACCTATATATATATATGTATTTATATATTTATGTGTGTGTATATATATACATATATATATATATATACATTTATATATATATATACATACATGTATATATATATATATACACATGTATGTATATATACACACATACATACATATATGCGTGTATAAATATATTAGTTTTTGTATATGTATATTATATTGTGTAAATATGTATTTAAACAGTATATATACATAGCAAGGAGCAGTGCATGACTGCAGCCAAAGAGATGCTGGCCGCGGTCACCGGTAGCAGTGGCTCTGCTGCAGAGAGTTGGAGAAAGCCAAGGCCCCAACCCTAAGCCCTGTAACGGTTTAGGGTTTAGGGTTCAGGGTTTAGGGTTTAGGGTTCAGGGTTTCGGGTTTAGGGTCTAGGGTTCAGGGTTTAGGGTTTAGGGTTCAGGGTTTAGGGTTTAGGATCTAGGGTTCCTAAACCCTCAAGCCCCAAACCCAGGAGGCCTAAGCCCGAAGCCCACAACGCCAACTCCTGGGCAGGTCGCCCCGCTTCTGCCATTAGCGACGACATGATCCGCCAGGCGATGCCGAAAAACAGAGGGTTAGGGATTAGGGATTAGGGATTAGGGTTTAGGGTTTAGGGGTTTAGGGGTTTAGGGTTTAGGGTTTAAGGATTTCGGGTTTGGGGTTTAGGGTTTAGTGGAGGGAGGCTAGGAAGAGCACAAACTCCCACACACATTCCTTAGCCAATCACTGCAACATGACACAACATCAACCAGTCTCACAAACCGCCGCTGTTGCTGTTTTTCTGTGTTTGCTGTTCTTGTGCTGTGTCTAAACCCTAGACCCTAAACCCTAAAACCCTAAACGCGCCCCAGCTTCTGCACGACAAGATGGCCAGCGAGCTCGGCGAGAGGAGCCATGCCAAGACTTCATATGGGACATTTTGGGGTCCTTATAGTAAGGATCCTACTATTTGGGGTACTATATTAGGGTCCCCTATTTTCGGAAACCCGCAAAAAGCAATCTTCGGTTGTACTGTAAGAACAGTCTCCTTTACGAGCAGAGGCACAGTGATTCGAGGGACCCAGTTTGATGCAACAGGCTAGCAAAGGAACCGTACAGTGCAAGGGAATGATTTGAATCTTATAATAGTCGTTGAAGCGTGGAGGCAGCTTGCATGTTACATTCAATCAAAACTTCAAAATGTGAAGGAAACATGGAAAACACGCGAGTTCCGGGTCCGTTAAACATGAAGTTTCGAGATTATCTGGTTGCTTTGTCCGGAGAGTGGTGCAGCACACCGCTCCTTCTGCACCAGCATTGCGTGACATCAGTGCCTAAACCTAAACCAAAAACCCTAGGTTCTAAATCGTAGAGTCGCAGACCCTGACACCCCAAACCCAAAAAAAATGCATCCAGAGTACCCTAAGGCCCAAACTCTAAACATCCAAAGTCAAAGGCTCCAAACACGACATGCGCCCAGGATGCGGTCCTGTATGGACCAGGCCCAGGACAACACAGCGAAGGCCTTTTGCAGGGTTCGGACTTGGGTTTTGGGGTTGGGAGTTTTTGCGGTTTAGGCCTCTAGAGTCTTGAAAAGTTCAGGCTTGAGGGTTCATGGGTGTAGTGTTTGGGCATTGAGGCTTCAGGGTTGTGGCATTGAGGTTGTAGGCGTGATTTGCCTAGGTTCTCTGCATCGACAGAGCCCTCCTTTTAAGGCAAGGGGTGTCTCGGACTTGGTAGGATGGAAGCACGTCAGCCTGAGCACGCTGACAGTCAGCAGAAAGCTTCGCCCTAGGCCGTGGTAGCTCCACATCTGCCCGAGTTTACCCTAAACCCTAAACCCTAAACCCTAAACCCTAAGCCCTAAACCCTAAACCCTTTTCAGGAAGCTTGCCGGACCACGCTTGCCACTGAAGCCCTTGGTGTGGCGCGCGGTGCACAAGGCGGTCGTGCCCTGAGTTTTCGTGAAGTCAGGATCCTGGGTGACTACATGATGGGCATGCGACCTCGGACGAAGGCACATCTACACTCACACATCTGAAGACAATCAGGAATGAATGATAGAAAGATTAAGGGAAGGAGGGAGCATGGAAGGAAATGATCGCCAAATCAACAGATACAACTCCATATGCTATGCACAAGTTCGAGCGTTATGACGACGTTGATGCATATATGGTTTGTTCTCTCTGTTCGGTATAGAATACATGCTCTGCGTTGCGCATGATGTGCTTTTAGTGTGCTTGCTCGGAGCAGGGCCCACCCGAGTCCCAGAGCCGGGTCTCCGGCTCCATCTGCGGAGAAGCTTTTTCGGGCTCTGACCCAGTTCCGCGACTGAGGCGGAGCACCTTCCCGCACGGACATGGAGGAGGCCCTGAAAGAAGCAGGCCGCGACAAGGCCATGGCGCCCGGCGATCAAGCGAGAGCTGCTGGTGCCGAGAGAAGCTGACAGAAGCGGAGCTCCTGAACCTGAAACCATTGCTTTGGGGGTTAAGGTTCGAAGTCTGAGCGGCAGAACGCTCAAATGTTGGGGACCCGAGCCTGAACCCTGGGGCGGGAGATGATCTCGGGTTGCGAGGCGTAAGAGCCCGGGTTTGTGGCTCAGCCCGAGGAACTGAGGAACAGAGCAGTCTCTGACCCATTTCACTACCGTCCGAAGATCCAAAATCCGATTCGCCTCAGACCTGCAACATCAAAGCTTCCAAAGGCCTAAACCCTAAACCCTAAACCCTAAACCCAAGCTTCCAAAACGTGTCAGGCCAAGGAGGTCAGCAAGGACTGCCAGGGCAGCCGGGAGGAGTGCTCCTTGCCTTGCTACAGGTAGCTTCTTGTAGTGGGACTTGTAGTTTGGGTTTAGGGTTTAAAGTTTAGGGCTGAGGGTTTAGGATTTAGGGTTTAGGGTTCTTGTACCAGTAGTTTGGCATCCCAAGCGGATGCTGCACTGCTTGGGGTGTGTGGTCTGGCAGTCTAGGGGTCAGCGTGCATCGTGGTTCAGGGAAAGGAAGAATGACAGTTTGACGGCGGATCACAAACGGCAAGGATGCGTGAAGAACTTGGGGTTACCGAAGATACTCCAGACCCCAACTCCACTAACCTTGAGTAAATCTTCTAATCGCACCCTAAACCCTAAACCCGTTAACGATCATAAGAGCCCGAACTTGGAAATGGGAAGTGCAAGGCCTCGTGTCTTTCAGTCGCAAGTGCCAACATCCCAAGCCGAAACGCCAGCAACAACGCCAAACTCCCAGACCCTGAACCCTGAACCCTATACCTCAAGCCCAGAACCCAAAACCCCAAACCCTAAACTCTTAAACCGTAAACTTTACCCTCCAACCTCGGAGCCTAAACTCCTTACTATTCAGCCCTCTATAACTTAACGAAGGTCTTAATTGAGGAATAAACCTTAGATCATACCCCCAAACCCTAAACCCCTAAACCCTAAACCCTAAACCCTGAACCCTGAACCCTGAACCCTGAACCCTAAACCCTAAACCCTGAATTCCTCCCGTCTTGTGTTGGAGATCCCAGGCATGGAGCGCATTCGGGACGAGGCTGCGAGGTCCATGGGCCTCAGCAAGGAGGACCTGTCGGACATGGAGGCCGTTTTTCCGCAAGGGTCTGAGGTTTAGGGTTCAGGGTTCTGGGGTTTAGGGGTTTAGGGGTTTAGGGTTCTGGGGTTTAGGGGTTGGGTTTAGGGGTTAAGCAGTGATAGTGAATAGAATCTGTCTACAGCGGGAACTCGCAACTCGTCGTCGTCTTCATCGTCGTGTTTTGCAGTGGTGGCACTCGTCGCTGTCTGCGTGGTCGTCTTTGTCGTCACTGGCAGAGCCAAAATCGTTCGTCTATAGTGCAGTTCTGAAAAACACTCGCAATGGCAGTGCAACTACAGTGATGCTGACAAGGGGCAGTGGTTTGGAGATGTTGCTGATATGCGTCAGACCAGTGACGATCAAGACAAAGAAGATCTGCGTTCCC